TCTTTTCACCCTCCCCAACATAAGGCAGGCCAAGCCAATACCTACCTACCTTTGCCTTACCTCACGCAACAAAAAGACAAGGACAGACGCAGAGCCGTTGCCGCCTTCTGTTCATTTCTACAAACTCGCTTGTTTCTGTTCCAGATCATCTTTAATTCCCTTTCTGTCGTCCTCTTCACTAAGGTACACTCCCGGCGACCATATCAAGCAAGTTCCACCCATCGCGAATCCAGTTGGCGTATCCGTACTCCCCTTCCTACCTATGCGCCACACTTCGCCCACGATGGATTCAGCCCAGTCTTGCGACAAGGCTACCACCACTGCCTCCGAGCCCGCAACCAAACCTCTCGACTTTCTCGACCTTCCTCCCGAAACCCAAAAGGACATCTTCAGCCATGTATGCCCTCCCGGACGCCTATACTCCACGTCGCAATGCAACTGACCACGTCTAGTGCTGCCAAAGCGACCTGATTTGCCTCTCCCTCGTCTCCAAATACTTTCGCGAACTCGCTGCCGCCCAGCTATACCGCAACTTCCATATCGTTTTCCCCGATGAAGATGATCCATCCTTCGATTCACCCATCGACAGCCTGGCTGGTGGCCTCGACACCTTCGTATCGAGCGAATATGACTATGCCCAGCATCTTCGGGATATCTCCCTCGACACCCTCAGTGCTGGCGACAAGGCCGAAGCTGCATATAAACCATACTTGTACAGTGCCAGCTGCGGCAAGTTCATGAACACATTGCTGTTTCTAGCCCTCAAGAATGCCAAGTCGCTCGAGACCTTCAGGTACGTACGACCGGCCCCCATTTGCGCATCGTCACCACTGACAGCTCGGACACCAGGTGGAACATTCGGGTCGAGCTAAGCCGGCCTGTGTACAAGGCGTTACACCACATTGCGACGCTTAAGAATCTCCACATTCGAATGCAGGCCGGACCGTCCCTCTTCGAGATCCCTCCTCCACTACCGTATTCGACAAACTTGCCGCCGCCTACGTCGACTCAAGGTCATTGGGACCCGTTGCCGGCCTTCTCCTCGATTCCGCCCCCGCCTCCTCCCTTCGCAAGCATGTCGTTGAACGTCCCGCCGCCGTACAACCCCTCTTCTCTCGGCTCTCACCCTCCATTACCGCCGGCGTTGAAGCCGACACCCAGAAGTAGGCGTAGGATGTCCGCCAATGAACCCGCAACGCTGGGTGGGTTCCGGAAGCTGAATTCTTTGGTTGTTCTCGATATCGATACCCTGGATACTATTACGGAGATCAAGTCATGCGTGCGCAATTCGGCGCCGACTTTGACGAAACTGAAACTGTCCTTCTCGACGTATCTCGCTCTGCAATCCCGGAAGCCGCCTCCAGACACCGATCCTGACGATTCCGACCAGGACGATGAATTCCAAGTCGTTCCTCTGCCATCAGCGCCCGGTTGGGATGAAGCGAGTGGACCAGCAAGAGCATTTCGCGCGCAAGAGGAGAGGAAAAGCCAGGAGTCGGTTTTGGGCAGGATCTTTGACGTGGAGCCATTCCTCGCGAAGAAGTCACAGCATCGCAAGAGTCTGAAAGGGAAGGCAAAAGTCGATGTACCTGCTAACACACGTGAGGCTGGCTCACCTGCCGAAGCGTTCATGAATAGGTTGCGGGAGGTCTCGGGTAAACTGATGGCAAGCGTGGCGGAGGGTAATACGGATGATGGGTCAAAGCAAGAGATTCTGGAGATGATCGAGAAAGCCAGTCGGAAATATCTGGAAGCAGAGGAGGCGAAAGCGGCGACGGAGGCAGCGAAGAAGGAGAATGATAACACAACATCAGCTGAAGCGGGGCCTTCCGCTGGCACAGGATCATCCACCGCCGCAACAGCCAGTACTCAGCCGGCTACAAATGTCGAGGCTTCTGGTGCTTCTACTATCAGTGGAGATACCAGCACCAAGGCCAGATCGACCCCGGCAGCTGATTCTAACCCCGAGGATATCAACGTGGAAGAGCCCATTGCTGCTGATGAGGCTGAGGCGATTGAAAAGGTTCAGGCTGTTGCTCCCGAGACGAGTTCGTCAATCCAAGAACCCGTATCACCTACCACGGTGCGAGCAAAGGCCGCGTTGGAAGCTCAAAAGGCGAACTTCGAAACGCTGGTCCTTCGTCTACAGCACCTGCTATCCGAAGCCACAAGTCTCCAGGAGAAACTTGAGGACCTGCGAAACACAACCAGTGCGTTTGACCGGGATCACATTCGATATGCCGAGAATCAGTTGCAGGGCTTCTACCGCGATATCGAGAACGTTAGGTCCGAGTTGAATGCGACCGAAGCCGAGATTCGTGAAGTGGAGAAGCAGGTCAACGGCATAGCCACGACAGCACATGGCGAGGACGAGAGAATCAGCGAGTATATTCGATCTACCAGAGGTGTCGCCCTGCGATCCTTCAGTGTCCACCTCATCCCAGTCAAGGCCTCCGTATTCAAGGCAGCCATTGACGTGCGAGTGCTGAAGAGGCTGACATTACTAAATGTTGGCAATCAAGCTCCCATTTGGACCATGTTGACCAAGGAAAACAAGGCGCAGCCGCTCCCCTTGCGCAAGATCTTTACGGACAATGTCTCCATGTCTTTCCTGACGTTTGCATCGCAACTGGAGCAGATTACCGAGTTGTTCATGCTCGAGCGATCGTCAAAGTACAAGCCTGAGAGCTTCGCGCCCAAGACAAATGTCGTCATGGACCAGATCCGCCGTCTTGTTCTCAAGAAGCATATGCCGACCCTAACTCGACTGATGATCAAAAATGATTCTCAAATGAGCTGGGATGTGGACGAGAAAGCCATGCTGCTCATTTGCAATCGCGGGAAACAACTCGAAGAGCTTGCGGCCTCGCTGGGAATTCGCGCCATGGTAAGTTGTCGAGATGTTGTACATGTTCTGAACTAACCAATTTCCTAGCACACATTCATGCAGCACCTAGGAGGGCTTGTAAACCTTCGAGCCTTGAACGTCATATCGTTTAGAAACGATGATACTTGCGTCTGGGTGATGCGCGAGACCCGCAAGTTCCTCGTCGATAACCTGAGCCACCACCCCCATATGAAGCTCGAATGGATCTCGATCGACGATGACCGGGTTGAGCGCATTATCCGGCCACCACCGCAGACCCCGGCTGCCAAAGCCGAAGAGAAGAGAAACCAGAAGGGCAAGAGTAAACCTGCTGGCTCTGCTTTTGGTGCATTCGGTGGCCCAGGCACCTCCACTGGTTCAGGTGTCCCGGGTGGCTTCCCACCGCTGCCTATGCCAGGATGGGAGACGGATAGCGATAGTGACGACGAAGACACCGATATAGTTGCGAACACCAAGCTAGAAACCGTCGAAGGCGTCCACTTTTATGATGTTTGGGACGTCCGGATCTTCAAGAAGGAAGTCATGGCTGGAAGGCTATGAAAGAAAGCCTTTGGAAGTCTAGGAAGAAACCTTCATGGAGTGGAGCAGAGTAGAAGCGCTGTAAAAGGTGGTGGAAGAGATGTGGACTTGGAAAGAATATCTAGCAGATGAAACGGCGTTTATTGGTTTCGGTTACTTGGATGGGATCATCTGGGCAATACCCGGTACTAAAGGGGATCAAGGCCTGGCGTAACATGGTTCGGAGACGGGTCATCAACAAGGAAGACATATCTTGAGGGACTTCTCATTTGCCCATGGCGTAAAATAGCGAGTTCTTTCTAAGCATTATTGGGCGGGGCTTCTGTTGCCCCCTTTTCCTGTTCATACCATAGACGAGTTATTGTGAGACGGGTGTAGAGTTTGCTATTGTGACTTGTAGACCCTTCCAAAGGCAAACCCAAACCACTCATTCATCTCACTATCCAGACATCCCTTCCTACCTTAGCCAGAGTATCTCTCCAGATAAGTCACCCTTCTTCACCCCCAACATCGAGAGTCAACCTCTCGCATCGCCCTCAGTGTAGTAGTTCCAATATGACAGCCCTGGCACAAATCGATAGTACTCCTCCGAAGAACCCGTACACCGTGTACTTTGGAAATCTACAATTCAAGCGTCTCCTCCACCCTCTTTACAGAAGCTTCGAAGCGCGTCGTTGGCCCTCGCGGTAGTCTTTGATGTTTGGTCTGGTTCTCCCTGAGGAGGTAAGGGGTGTTCCCACTGGTTGCAGTAACCCCTCTGGGCCGAGGAGGCTGGGTAGTTAGGTCTTGGTAGGCGTTTAGGTTGTGGAGATGGGTCTAGGGGACGTAGGTTGTGAGGCGGCGGTTGGGCGTCTTTTAGGGAGAAGGAGGACGATGTTGGAGAAGAGGTTTGTGGTGTGGCACCTTTCTTTTGCGAGGGTGAGGGCGGTTTTACCAGTTGGGGATGAGGACGTTGGAGGCGGAGAGGGTTGCGAGGGTTGATGTGATGTTAGTTTCCTGGTTGGGAGGAGTTGGATGTTAGCTCTCTTGGAGGGAAACGCTGCCTCAACCTCCTCATATCGAGGTCTCTATTCTCAATCCGTGTGGCTACATTTCTTGGCGGTTATATGGTGCTCATGCTAGAATTTTACGCAGTACTCGGTTCGATGTAAGCTATAGGGGGTTAATTATCATTGACCGTAGACTCTTCCAGCACGCAGGCAGTTTGCCCTGAGCAACGGGAAAGACATCTGCTGTTGCTGAATGAGAGAAGTTAAAAAGAAAAAAAGAGACTTTATCATAGGGAATCGAACAAAAGAGTACGCGATTGATCGGCTTGGCTCTGGAAGAACGGGTTCCACTTGGCGCCCCCTAGACCCCTCGGCCAAGTTTCCCAAATCACATCTTGTGATGGCAGGCAGGAGCAAAAAGAGACTTAAACACCGTCCCGCTAGTCGTATACACTGGGATGAATATACGTATGTACGCGGGACTGTGTTTCTCGCCTCAGGGTGCTACCATTTGAGTATTATGTGTTTGCAATGTGTGACAGTAATGTACATATTACTGGCAGTTTTGAAGACACAATTTGAAATTACAGTCGTTGCGTGGAGTTGACCCTTTTCGTTGCTCATTTCCAGGTATCTTGAGACAAACAATCAACTAGCATTTCCAACTTCTACAATAATCACCGTGTAGAGGAACAAAGCTTGTACTGCCGCATTGCGACGTTTTGCTCCCTCAATAACCGCAAAGTCATGTTGAAGATGAGGTCAGATACATTACTGATCAGGGGAAAACATGGTAAGTCAGATTCTTGTTTGGGTATCAATCTTCTCTTCTCAAAACGAACAGCATCTCATGGCTGCTCTACGCCGCTCTCTGATCCATCAACGCCATAATCTCATCCTCCTCGTCTCCCTCGCCAGCCCTCCGCCTAGACTCCCTCTCAATCCCAACCCTCGTAATCATACCACCAGCAAGCATCCCAGTCTCTTTCACCCCTCTCACCCACCCCTCAAGACTCCTCATCCCCACAACCAGAAAACCCAACTCCTCCCTCTCAACATCAAAGACCTCCCACCACGCCACCTCAGGCATCTTGGCCCCGGCCTCCCGGGCGGCGAGATACACCGCCGCCGTCGCGAGCGCGTTGGGCTGGTGCGTCAGGTACAACATCTGCGGGCTCAGCAGCGCCGTATTGAGGTGCGCGATCACCCGACCCGCCACCTGCGCCCTGGGCTTCCCGAGAAAGTCGAGCGCTTGGAGGTACGTCACGGCCAGCGCGTGCGGCAGCGCCACGGCCGTGTCGAAGCCCAGGGCCCAGAGGATCCGGGCCTCGGCCGCCAGCATCCGCGTCTGGAAGGCGGCGTACTCGCCTTCTGTCTGGTAGTACGTCGTCGGGTCTGGGCGGGGCCGCTGCTTCTTCGGGTCGTCGTCGTCTGGTGGCTCGCCGCGGAAGAGGGAGGAGGCTGGGGAGAGGAGGTAGGCGTATACGTTTGAGACGTCTCGGGTTGAGCGTGGGACGGGTCCCATTTTGGCGACTAGGTAGAGGGCTGCGGCGGAGACGTCCTGGGCAACTTCTTGTTAGTGGGACTCTCGAGAGCATATATGGTGCTTTTTTTTCTTGCGACTCACGCTGAATTCTCCTGCCATTGGCGACTCGACGAGCCAGTATCGCGCCAGCAGGACATTTGCCTGTGCCGTTGTCGACTGTGGCAAGTCGAGTAGGACACCGGCAGCCTGTGTTAGGCACTGCGTCGCATAGAAAATGACATCCTGGAGGTCGGCCGGTAGCGAGCTGAAGGAATTGCGCTTGTAGAGCTGCTCGGCCGTGGCCAGCGTGTTGGTCACATGCGCCATGGTCTGCGCCCTCTTTATGTCGTCGTCTTGGCTGTCTTTCGAGGCAAAAAGGCCAGATAATCGTCGTTGCAAGGCTGAAAAGAGTGTTGAAGTTTCGAGGTCGCTGCGATTCCAGTGTCCCTATTGGTCAAAGCTGAGAGCTGTCAGGGTAGTAGGCACGTAGGTTAGGCGCGATGTCTGCCGCGCGTGTGTCGTCACTTCTCTCCCAAGGCGAGACAAAACCCGGAAACAACTAGGTAGGTGCTCCGTACGGAGTACAGAGTCTGGGAGTACTGTGGTAAAGGTACCTAGGTACCCCACTCACCCTCCGCTTCGGCTTAGCGTCCCCACGTCCTTCTGCTTCGCGGGCTTTTGGGTTGGCTCTCCGGCGTACCTGAGGCTTTGAACTGAGGTGGTTACGAACCAATTCAAGGCAGCTGCGTGGAGAAAAGGTCCCCCGGCCTTCTAGACATCACGCTCGCATCCCGCACCAGCTCGCGAACGACACGAGAGCGATTATACGGACCATCACCTACCCACCCGGACTACTACCCTCCCGCCCACGACAAGTACTATTGCCTTTCGACACTGGTCAATGGATGGGCTCATGTGTCGAATCCCCAAATAACCATCTACACCCGCTCCCTCTTCCCCGCATCGGCTTTGTCGGCCAGTCGTGATCCGTCCACGCAACCCGACGACATCATCGATTGCACCCCTTCGCAGACGACGAACCACGACGACAAGGAAACCGCCGTGACCATGGACTACAGCGCCTCTATCCACGAAGAGAGCGGCGCATCGCCCTGGGGAAACTCCCCAGGCTCCTCGCCCCGGCCCAACCAGACCAACTTCTCATCTCTCGGTGCTGACCTCGGCGGCGACCCGGCCGGATCCCCATTCAACTACTCACCAAGCCCCGGCAACGCCACCCCGCAGGACCACCAGGAAGGCTTCGGCGGCGAGCAGCAATACAGGCGACCAGACACCGCGAGCAGCACCCAGTCGACGACTGAGGTGGAAACACAGGAGTCGAGAACCGAAATAGGCTCAGAAGCCCGCTCCAGCGGTGATGGTCCGGGACCTGAGCTGCCTCAAAAGTCGCAAGAACAAGGCGGACCCGCGGTCGCGGGCGGACAGGCTCGTCAAGAACAGCCGCGCAAGCCTCAGCAGCCCCAGTTCAGGCTACAGGCCAAGATCACCGGTCTCGAGCGCACCGGGAAGAAGGACCCCATCTTGCGGTTCGATGTTCATGTAAGGAGCAGCATCCCCCTTTGACTGCTGCCATACGGTAGAAGGTGAATGCCTAACACGTCGTAGACCAACCTCCCGAGGTTCCGCACCACTCAGTACCGCGATGTGCGCCGCTTCCACTCGGAATTCGTCAAGCTTGCGGAGCACCTGATTTCTGCAAACCCCGAATGCCTAGTACCTACCGTTCCGCCCGCCGTGACGTCGGCCGGTGCTGGCACGGACGAGGACGAAGCCCGCGTCAAGGCCTTATTACAACGGTGGTTCAACTACGTGTGCAGCAACGAAGTCCTTATGAGGGACGATGAGATGGTCCTCTTCGTAGAGAGCGATTTCGGATACAGCCCTATGGTCAAGATGAAGCAGCCGGCGACGGGCGTGCGCAGAAAGATTCTGAAGCAGTTCGCTCCCCCGCCGGACGACACTCCGGAGCTCCAGGAGGCTCGTCCGATCGTCAAGCTCTTCTACCTTGGAACCATGGATGCCGGACACAAGGTCGATAAGCTCGTCAAGTCTCGTCGAGGTAAGTCCACGTCAACCCCTGATGAAGCACTGGCGTTCGCAGGTCTGATATCATCTAGGTCTCGGATTGGCTGAATCCGACTTTGGCGTCAAGCTCGGCTCCATGCATATCCAAGAGCCCCATCAGGGTCTCGCCAATGCCTATCGTAAGCTGGGCAAGATCGTACAAACCGTCGGTGACTATCACGCTGCGCAAGCTACTGCGGAAGCCACCACCATTGGTGATCCGTTCCAGTACCACTCCCAGGACTCATTTGTTGTCAAGGAGTCGCTCACAAACCGCCAAATCCTCATTCGCGAGTTCCTCCAGGCCCAAGAGAACACACGTAGCAAGCTCAATGCCGCCGATCGTCTGAAGGCGAGCTCCAACGTAAGACGCGAGAAGGTCGACGAGGCCATTACGGCCCTTGATGACGCCCGTCAAAACGAGACCTACCTTTATCAAAAGACGACTCGTGTCACGCAAAATCTCGTTCAGGAGCGTCGAAAGTGGTTCTCAAGAACGGCAGCGGATCTTCGGCTCAGCATCAGAGAATATGTCATTCGCGAGATTGAAGCGGAGCGACGTGCTCTTGCCGTCCTCGAAAGCGTGAGACCAGACATCCGCGCCATTGACGCATCTGGCGGTCTGAGTCGACTCGGACGCGAGGCTCACCCTCCCATCAGAAGGGCCAGCGTGGCAGCCAGCCAAGGTCCCAAGGGTGATGCATGGAGCGGTGTTCCACGACGCACCGACACGCTCAACCGCAGCGTGTCTGGCAGTCTTATGGGCGTCCCCGAGGACGGTGAGGGCGACGACGGCCAGGGTGCGGGGCAGAACAAGGGCGGTGCAGCGGGCGGCCGGGCGAGCTTGTCCGGTGTGACAGAGGAGGACGACGAGGACCGAGTGGATGCGAGAAACGCGGCAAGCCGATTGGCGACCAGCACTTTCTAATCGAGTCGACCTTGTTTACGAGGCGCGGGTGAACGGGCGAAGCCGCTCCTTGGAGGGGAGGGAGGGAGGGAGGGAGGAGAGGGGGAGAAACCTTGGACCGAGACCTTTTTTGTATGGAGGGGGCTTCGGGGCAGGCACTTTTTTCCAAAAAAGCTCGTATGATGTGTAATGTTGTATCCGTCCTGTTTGTGCTCCCATACACATATATTCCCAAAGTATGAGCCTTGCTTCTTTTTTTTTTGGTTCTAAATCTGGTCTTGTCTGCTCTGCGTTTGACTGTAATTGCAGCCGGTGTGGTGAACTTGATTCGCCTGCGGCCTGGGAGAGAGAGAGAGAGAGAGACAACATTAAAAGAGGGAGGTCCTCGTTGGGGGGCCTATGGCGATGACAGGATGCACTGATGTAGTGTCACGATGAGATTCTTAATGGATGACTCGGCGTGCGTGTGCCCGGTGGCGGTAGGCGGTGAAACGTGACTCTACCTCAAGGTAAGGTAGGCTGGGAGAAAAAAGCCCCTCGGCTGTGACGCAAAGTCAAGTAACAACATCCACGATGCAATGAATGCGCCAGATTATATTTTGTGTCTTGCGTGCCATCTTCTGCCGGTGTCTCTGACTACTGCATCGTCGGACATCCCATCTAGTAAGAGAAAAGTATATAGAAATGCAAACATGTGTGGCAGATGCCGTGTTCCCGCCTCTTCTCGTCTCCCCCCTCACTTACTCGACTTTTCAACTCACCCCGGCTTCGGCTCCGGGATCTTGATGTTTTACCTGTCATTGTCCGAAGGGTGGACGTTGCTGTCTATTGGCTTGGGCTTGTGGTTTGATCGATTAGCGGTGAGGTTGAGGTGTGTGAGTCAAGTTGAAGTGGCTGTATAATACGACCGGGGAGTAATGCGGATGCGGGTTGTGGGTGTAGAGCAAAGGTGCAGCAGGCAGATTTGATGAGTGCCATATTGGCTGGAAGTGCACATGCTAGCTCAGCACTGGAAAGGGGGAGGGGGCAAGATTCACATGTTCTTCGTTGATATAAAGTAATTGAGCGATGATTGAGGCGGTGGCTGCAGGTAAGATGATTTCATTGGGAGTTGATGTTTGTATGTCGATTGGTGGTGTGCTTCTGCCGGTGTCCGGACGACTTTCATTTTCCTACCTATGCTTCAGTCTTCTTCTTTTTTTCTTCTTTTTTTTTTCGCTTCCCCAAAGTGCGTAACTAAGACCTCCATGCTTAGCAATTGATTTGCTTCTTCTTATGATGGACTACCAGCGATACAGTCACCGTCTGGCATCAGTAACCATAGATGGAAGCCTTTCGAGCGGTCTGAGGACTGTCTTGGATGTGTTGTGCCATCAGCGTCTCGGCCGGATTTCTATCCCATGCAATGCAGTTCACCGTTGGAACTCTAAAAAGCATGCCGAGGATGTACGATGCAGATGATCGGGTCTCATATTGCTTTTTTAGCTCATGCTGGCGCCGGTACTTCTTTCCCCTCCCCAGAGAGACGCGGTGTTTTCGCGTTGTCAGCCTGCCTAGACTCTTCTCTTCACTCAACTTCGCTCGAAAATCTGGGTGGCTGACCTGACGCCGTCAGCGTCGGGTTCTGGAACGGAGGCGTCAGCCAGTTTTCTCTTTCCAATCTATCTGGCATTTATCTCAGCGATGCGAGCAGTGTTTCACTCGATTCCAGAGATCCGGTAGATACCCTCGCTGACACGCCCAGGCAGACGATGTACCTGCGGAGAGGTCGTGGCCTGGTGAGGTCGCATTGTGCTATGCTTCCCCAGTCGTCCAATCCGGCTTTTGGGATGGAAAAGATCCGTCGAGATCAATAGTCGTCAGGACGCAAGGTTATTACTCGGCAACTACGTCGGCAGGTGCAACAGCTAAACGCCAGCCTTGGAGCTGAAGTCTGAAGCAAGGAGAAAATCGCCGGTAATGGAATCAATTTTATACGCCGCTGGCAAGCGACACTCGTCGTCGGTACTGCAATGACTTGTTTCCATGCGGCTCAGGAGAAAGTCTGCTGGCTCTAGTGGTGTCAACGTGATTCATTGGTAGACCGGCCAGTAATTCCGTCAGCCGTACTGCTAATTGTCGCTGCTGTCATTTCTGATATCAGAGACCTGACGAGAGTGTCGTCCGAAGAGCTGCCCACGTTCGTCTTCGGATACATGAGTATACGAACACTCTCCCAAGAGATGACTTGACGGGCGTCTCTCTTCGCCTCTCGCATACCGTGAAGGGGACGGTACTGTGCCCATGGGTCATCAGGATCGCAGAGACCCAGCGTGCCAGGCAAGGCCTCGCGCATGGCTTCTCTTCAGGTAGACATGGAGCTCCACTCAACTGTCCTTTGCATGGGCCCTAGGTGATGCCATGCGTTCCGATTGCGTGAGCATGCAGGGTTTCTCCGAAATTGGATGATCGTCTCCAATTTTTGTTCGGGAGTGGGCATCTGCTGGCGGC